CTATCTATCTATCTATCTATCTATCTATCTATCTATCTATCTATCTATCTATCTATCTATCTATCTATCTATCTATCTATCTATCTATCTATCTATCTATCTATCTATCTATCTATCTATCTATGTTTCTAAATATCTATCTATCTATCTATCTATCTATCTATCTATCTATCTATCTATCTATCTATCTATCTATCTATCTATCTATCTATCTATCTATCTATCTATCTATCTATCTATATATCTAACTATATATCTGTCTATCTATCTATGTATCTATCTTTCTATGTATCTATGTATCTATCTATCTATCTATCTATCTATCTATCTATCTATCTATCTATCTGTCTGTCTGTCTGTCTGTCTGTCTATCTAGTCTATCTATGTATATGTCTATGTATGTATCTATTTATCTATATATTTATCTATATATCTATCCATCTAATTATCTATCAATATATATATCTCTTTATCTATATATACATATAAATACCTATCTTAATATGTATATTTCTATTTATCTATATATTTATCCTTTTTTGTATCCATCTACCTATCCATATATATATATCTTAAGTTAAATATAATCAGTTAATTCAAATATATTAACAATAAGCTTTAATGTCTTAAAAATTATGATAGGTTGCATGTGTAAATCCCCTAACTTGGTTCATTAACTTAAAACCGTATATGAATGGTATATTCATTAACCTATTAATTGTCTACCAATCATATTTCTCTGTAATTTCATTTTTGCTATTGCCACAAATTTATTTTTTACCAGTTTAAAGTTTTAATGTGTCATTTAAAATCATTATCATTCTCATTGCATCAGTAGTACCCGAAAACAACAGTCTGTATTGTAACAAACACTTTTAGAAGAATTCTTATAACGCAGCAGCTAATAAAACGTGTGACAGACATGTGTCAGCGGTGAAGCCGATTGCTTGAAAACAACAACCGTGCGTCAGCCCGCATCTTCCAAATCATGATGTTGCGAGGGCGGCGAGATCAGATCTTTAAACCTCAGGGCATTGCAATCAAGTACTCTATTGGAGTGGTCGCGTTATAAATCTTTTGCTTAGTCGTTTTCTTGTTGAAGGTAAATCAGCTATTTCGTTATTTTTTAATGAAATATTTATTTTTTATTTCTTTACAAATATATAATTAAGTTACACAATTTGAATTATATTTATTGTATTAAATTATATTAAAACTTTATAATAATACGTTTTCTGAATTATATTTGTATATATATATACATAAATCTTTGAAATCCACACACTTCAATCTTTTGTTATACTAAGAGGTAAACTTATCTGTTAAACATGGCCCATTTTCTCAAATTTATATGTTAATGATTTAATAAATGCATAAAAATAATTTTTATTAATATCCTAATCTATAGTATTAAAAAAGATTCAAACATTTTGCGATTAAATTACAAATATACATAGTTAATTATACAGTTTTGTTCTTAGTTCACTAGTTCAAATTAATTAAAGGCGTGATATAGCAACGTTTTCTAAAGTAAAATTATTAAATTTTATATTGCAACACTCATTAGCAAATATCCTTATATATATATAAATAAAACATTCATATTTTAATTTAGAAAACATAATTGTATTAAAGCGGTTTTCGTAAGTTTGTGCCACACACATTTGGACTAGGTAAACATTTGTATTTAAGTTCATCAAAGGCTAAACTAAAATTGCACAGAATTAGTAAGGTATTGTCACATCTCAAACAATTTTTTTTAAAGACGAAATGGAGTAGTGTTTTGTTTTAAACGTTTCAGGTTGTGGAATTCTTCTTGACATCCACGATTTAACATCAGGTTAAGTTTTCAGTTTTCAGATAAAGTAGACATTTACACATGTTCTACTTAGCCAAAGACGATGAATTTGCAAAACCTCTAACGTTGTTCCGTTTTTTCCCCTTGAGTAGAGTTACGGTTTTTTGTAGTTATTTAAGGTGTACGGAAGTCTGGTAAAAGTTGAATTGCAAATGTTTTAAAAAATTTAAAAAAAAACACTTATAATAATAACTTTCAACTATTTGACCATGTTTGTAACTAGAATAGAACACACCTTTTTTCAACTACTTGAAACACCATCATGTACTCGTAGGTGCTAGACAGTAAATTATGTGTTAATGTCCATTAAGATGTGTGCAGGGGGAAGTACATTAGAGTTCTTGTTTAATGTGTTGAAGGTGAACATTAAGTGGCATGTAACCTAATTTGTGCGCAAAATTAATGAAAAGTTCATGAGTTTTCATAGGTGATTTAATATACTTTTAGGGTTCGGTTAAAGCTTTTTTAAGATCCATATTTTTAATTTGTATTTAATAATTATTATTATTATTTTTTTGTTGCAATATGGGAAACGTTACAAATATAGCATTATTGTTGCTATCTTTGATTTGTTTTTAACTTTCATTTCTAGAGTTAATTTCTTCATTGCTCTGTTAAGTCCATTTGGCGTTAGATAATCTTCAAAGAGAGCAAATTTTCTTACCAGTTATTTTTTATTAAGATAGTATATCTTTAGTGCGTCAGTACTTTTTTTTTTCTTTGTTTTTATATTATTTTTTTTGTTGTTTTTTAATTGTTTAGGCCATTTTTTTAATAGTCTGCGATTTGATATAAAGTTTTAAAAAACGAAAAGTCACATAAGAATAAATTAACAATTATAAAGCGATAAAAAATATTAAATGCAAATGAGTCCTTAATGTTTAAAATTACGATTTTGCTTTGATATTTAAATGAGTTTTCAAGATAAATTGTTATAGAGTGGTATATTACTGTTTGAAAAAAAAAATGAGGAATGTTTAATAAACTCCTTGTGTCATATGAATTCGAAGTATGCAAACCAATAATTAAGCGAAGAACTTAAATTTATGGTATTTAATTTACAACATGTTATCTTTTCTGAAATGTAATTTAATTTGCAGTTTAATGTATATCAAACATGTATTAAAGACATCAAACAAATGTTTAATCTGCTACCAGAGCACATACATCCATACACTTATAAAGATTGTTTTAAAAGGTTATAGTGTGGATGATTATTGTATGCACTGATTTGATCAGAAAAATAGCTAGCCTCTTAAATTGCTTCACATATTTTAACTTTTTTTTGTTTAAATAATAGAATTAGAAATCGTTTAAATAACGACAGGCTTATGTAACTTACGATTGTTTTTTGGGGTTAAAATAAGAAATAATAATTAGATTCTAAACATCATTATTCATTTCAAAACATATATATATTAACTTAGTAATGAGGAAAAGGATTGACTTTACGCCTACAACATGTTAACGTTATGTTCAACTAATTTGATTTTACAAAGATCTTTGAAATTGCAATTTTTATACACTAATTAATCTATTTAGACAGAAACCTTAATGTGGAAAATAATATTAACATGCTTTGCAAGGCAATTTTTCCTAGAGCTTCGCAGGATTAGTCATATCAGACCTTTCTTAACGTTAGATGCATCAAAGAGGCTGATGTCTGCATTTGTGTTATCACGCATGGGCTACTGCAATGCTCTCATGGTTGCCGGTCCGCGCTCGCATAGAGTACAAAATTGCAACTTTGTGCTACCGCTGCTTACATGACCTGGCGCCATCTTATCTCAAAGCACTCATGACGCCTTATGTACCCAACTAGAGAGCTCTGCTCATCCGATACTGGCAAAATTTCGATACCGTGTGTTCGCCTTAAGACTTAGGGAAAGCGCACTTTTGCATTTGCCGGCCCAACAATTAGGAAAGCCCTTCCAGTCGCTCTCAGAAACAGCCGGACACTGGAGTTCTTTAAAACCGATTTAAAAACACATCTATTTCGAAAACACCTTCTGAGATGATGATATCTACCATCTTTTTTTCAGTTAACGTATATTGGTTTGAGTTGCTTATGGTTGAAACGGGATAAAAGACTTTGACTTGGTATGCTCGTATGTAGTTTTATATTCTTGCGTCAATTTTTTAAATGTGGTAAATTTTAGATTGTTTTTATTTCTCTTTTTAATATGGTTGGCTTTGTAACATGCTTCAAGCTTTTGGGGATGAAGCGTGTTTTTCAAATAAACTCTATTATAATTATTATTATATGAACAGCTTTTGGATAAATATAAATTTTTATTTATAAAATGTTTTGGAATCAATCTAATATTTAACAAATTCTAATTCTATCGACTAGTTCAGCTGAAAACATATTCAAAACTGTAATAACAGTACCTTTTCAGAAATAGATCTAAGAGCTTTCTGTACAAAATTTACTGTTAATTTTAATTATTAACTTTGTGTTTAACAACCCATAGTTATATTCTAGAAAGAAAAAGAAACATAATTTTATGACGATCAAAAACTCTGAAACGGTGAGATCAGTAGTGACTACCTCGACTAACAAGTCATTTCTTTCATTCCTTGGTCCCACACCATTTTTAAACCGTTCAATTTAATAGCACACACATTTCAAACAATCAAACCAGCAGTCAATAATACTTTTGAATCTTAACGCATGACCAAAAAAAAATGTTTTATCAAACATAACGGCAACTGGGATTTCTTGAAAAACACCCATGGACACGCCCATTTTGCCCCGTATAGGTACCTTGATATGAGTGATTAATACGACGAGATAAATCAATTTTTTTTTTAGAGACCCTACATCTGATTAAAATTGATTAAAATTGATTAAAATAGTTCATTTATATATATATATATATATATATATATATATATATATATGTATATATTTATATATAAATGAACATATATATAAATATATATAATATAAATATACATATAGATGTGAGTGTGTGAGTGTGTATCCATATTTATTGAATTTTTAAGCCAAAATTAAATAAGACCATTGTACATAGACATATTATTTATCGAAATATAATCATGTCTCCAACTTTTTTAGAGACAGTGAACTTGACGCATGAATAAAATGTTTGAGGGTCCCCTAGCAAAACACTAATCAATACACTTTCACAAACCAGATCATAATAAAATATTTACGCAAATCATAACATTCTTCTGCTCATTTACAATTATTTTAATTATATTACTTGAGGACAGGATGAAAAACATAACAAAAGAAAATGTGTAAGGCAATTTTAAATAATTATTAACAAGACTTTAGAATAATGTTGATATAAAGAAAACTTCCGCCATTTCAGGCATTGAACAAAGTAGAGTTTAATAACACAACTCTATTGACAACAAATTAAAATAACGTAAATTAAGTTAAATTCTAACTATTGAAAATACATAAAATTTGCTAATACTAAGACATATTTTAACAAACAAGAAAAAGTAAAAAAAATTATCGTAGTTTACAGTGAATTTAGGATTGTTACTAATATTAATACATTTAAAAAAAAAATGATATATTTAGCACGATAAAATTTATTTCTGTAATGGATTGTTACGACCTTCGTGTGGACGACAAGATAGTACAAATGTCCCATTATTTATGAAATGCATATTCTGTCGGCTCAGTTCAGACTCACGATGTCTAATAAATTAACACAAACAAAACTGCTTTCTTTCATAAGTAATGCTCTAATAAGTAATCAGTCGCATTTTGCACTAATTCTTAAAATACTGATATTGAATTATTTAAATTTGCTAAAGAATTTTCAATAATCGTGTATATTACCACAACGCACCACCATCTTTCCAGAGATAAAGCTAATGAGAAGGAGATGGAGAGAGAAAAAGAGGGAAAGATAGTGCCAGAGACAGAAGGAGAGAGCGTGTAAGTAGCTTTAAAGCGGGTAATATATTATATTATTCGTGAAGATAATATAACATTTTTTTCATATAAATATTTAAAATTATAATAAATGGAAAAATTGAAACGTTTTTCGTAAATTGAAAAATAAAATTAATGTACTTCATTTAAAAAGAAAGAATAATACTAGTTATTATACTAGCCCTACATATAAATTAAATATGCATGCACTCTTAAATAACAGTGAACTGGTTAAAATTATAATATTTAATAATTCATTTTGTCTTTTAAATAATCGATCTATTATTTATCATATCTCTCTGTTGTACTGAACATTATTAAAATTTATTTCAAATATAAAAGTTCAGGAAAAATACGATCTCTCCTTCTTGTTGGTGGACCCCTTCACGGAAAAAGCACTCTTGGAGATAAGATTATAAGCAAGAAGTTCTTTACTGAGCATGGCCCATCAGAAAAGATTGAAATTAAAAAAGAAATAGGTAACGGATTTGAAGTTACTGAGTACCATGGACTCCTTGAGAACATAGATGAAATTGACAAAATCTTCAATGCAGCAGAGGATGCCGTACTAAAGCGTTTTCCTGTTGAAACCCAAGATTATGAGAATTTTAATAAATCAAAATTGTTATCAATCGAATCCAGGCCTGATAATAAAGATGAAGGATTTAATGCTCTAATATTTGTAATTAAATATGGAATAAGATTGACTAAACAAGAAATCCAAGTCATGGACATGATAAAGTTTGTTTTTGGAAAAGATATCTTTAAGGATCGTGGAATCATTGTGTTTACATTCGGAGAAAACCTTACACCCGATGAAACTATTGAAGACTATATTGGAAAATTCAAAAATGAATTTAAGACCCTCTTTGGCGAGAAACTAACCAGATTCATTATGTACAATCATAAAACTACAGAAATTAAAAGATTAAACGAAGAATTAGATGATTTATTAAACGATATCAAACTTGAAAGGTATACAATGAAACAGTTTCGTGCAGCTGCACTTGAAAGTTATAATAAGCGCTTAGAAGGCAAATATAAGAAATGTGAAAAATGTACAGATGAATTTTTTTTTAATGTCAGAAAGGTACTGCAAGATAGGGACCAGACAATCATTGACTGGGTTAAGATAAAAGATGCTGTAAACACAATAATTAATTTTTGTAAAAGTGAAGATATGAACACAGAATTTAAAAAATTACTAAAAAAGATACAAAGTAAGTTTGAGAGAACAAAAAAAGAAGCTTGTGAAAAACAATCTGAACTTCTGCCTTTGCTTAAATCTTTACATGAACCTGTTGAGGAGTATTTGTCTAAGAGGTCAACCCAATGTTTACCGTGTAAAAAAAAATAATTTTTTTTCTTCTTCTTAAATTGATTATCCTGTATTGAATGTTTTTGACTGAAACTATGCGTAATAATATTTCTTGTGTTCTTCCTTATAACAGCTATTTTTAAATTTGTTTAATTTTTAACTTCTATTTTATTTTTTAAAATACTTAATTTTAAAACAAAATGTATTTTCATGTTGAAAATAATAATCTAAAAGCTGAAATTCTCATGTCATTGTTCACTTTCAAAAAAATGTTTTACATTTTTATAAAAGCAGTTGTTGTTTTTTTATTTAAGTATACATTTTTTTTAAAAATTACACTTGGTTATGTTTATTTTTTCACCATGTATTGCGATTGTTTATTTTTAATATAATGTGGCTTTGCCTTGAAATTACCTAACCGTTTTTTTTTTATTTTATAAATTTGTATCACAAAAATGCTTTATAAAGTTATTTTATTATGAATAAACTAATTCTGAAGTAAAAGATCACTAGTTTAAACATTCAATTGCAAAGTCAATGTCAAGCGTTTTTTATATCAAACAAATCTTAAGGTAAATAAATGTGAATTTAGTTTAAGATTGAAAAATATCTTATACATTTGAAAAATTAATATTGATCAAAGTTTCCATGTGTACAAAAGAATAAATAAAAGTCATAATAGCTTTCTAAAATTTTTAATTAGTATTAACAATAAAAGGTTTATTTGCAATAAGCTCTCAAACAATAGACACGAATGCCTTAAAAATCAATAATATTGTTGTTTATAATTCTTTATATTAACTTTCAGCATTATTATTATAATAAATAAATAATTTTCTCTTTTCATCACAATTAATATTTTTTGTCAAACAAAAGTTAAAAAAGGGAAACACATTGTAAAGAATGATACATAAAAGGTCTAACTAATATTAATGTTAGGTGAAATAAATTTTTAAAAAAAGAATCATGAATGGCTAACCTATCTCATGATAACCCAACAACCTACATAAAAGACAAGGCCATGCTTGCAGTTGTTTTATTTCAAAGTTAACAATGTGTCTTCTTAAACTTTCATGAAAATGTTTAAAATCTGAGAAATAACAAGTCTTTTATGGATATATACGAACACTTGTGCCTATTAACGCAAGAACTGGAAAACAATGTTTGCCTCTCAACGGTGGGCCAGACAATTTCCTGCGTTTTTGTGTTGTTGTTTTTTGTTTGTTTTTTAGGGGGGGGGGGAGAGTCTGGACATGACAGAGGCCTATCGGGCTTTTAAGGCCTGACAATATGCTTTTTTTTTTTTTTTTTTTGTCTTTTCGGGCGGGACCAGACAGAGGCCTAAGGGGCTTTTACGGTGACCAGACAGAGAGATCTCACCGGGTACCAGCGGCAGCGGATCGAAAAATTAGATTTTGATAGTTCTTAGTAAATGAACATAAAGGGTATTAGAGTTATCAGGGGGGGGGGAATTAATTTCGTTACCTGGCACCAAACACTGTAGCTAGTGCAGAGGTGAAGAAAGGGGGTCTATGGGGTGACATGACCAGGTGTAATTTTTTTCTTTATGAGAGTTAAAAACATATTCGACGTATCGTAGACAAGAGCGCGATCAACATTTATGGCGTTGGCAGTTATGTCCTTCACTACCAAAATCGCATAAATTAAATGTTATATTATTTAAAAATGAAGAAATACATATCGGAATATCGCTGAAGTCGATGTTTTAATTTATATAGTCTAATTAAAGCTTGAGTCAATAAAGACAACATATGCACGTGTCAGCTTAAAGCTTTCTTCTACGAGCAAAACTAGTAAAAATAAGAGAGACATTTTTTTTTTTTTTTAAAATAATAGGAAGAAGCGGTTCGTGGGCAACTGTGAACTGTGTCTATCTGTGAGGAAATGTTTTTTTTAAGTGTCTGAGCGAGCATTATCAAGCTATTGTGGCGCGCCCCATTGTAATAATTTGCTACAAGCTTAGATTCAACCTCGCATGTTTTCATTGAATACAATGGAACAAAAGTAAGGGGCAGGGGTCTACTTTGATAATTGTGATCATTGAAAAATGCTAGGATGCATTTGGCGCATAATTGCATTAGGTGTTCATTTCATGAAACGTGGGTGTGTGTTTTCGTCTTTCCAGTTGGAATGCCAAAATGAGCCAATATTACGATCAGGCACATATCTAACTTTGCCCTATACCAACATAAACTAAATTTATTCAAACACGGGGTATGCTTTTTTCCTAGCTTAATTTCTGGGCATAAATCTTTAAAGATCTCTACAACAATTTAAGATAAGTCAAAATATAAAATGCATTTTTTTCACATAGCTGCATTTAGTATTTTTATAATTCCACATTAATTTAAGTGCAACGGAAATGATGAAAATATAAGATATATGTGTCATGGATTAAAAGCCACTGTTTGGACCTTGCTACCTCTACGGCTGCTGGGGGCTTCGTTTATTATTGAGGCTTAAAATCACAGAAACTAACACTACTGAAACGTTGAATAGATCTCAACAACGCACATCTCCAGGAATTGGAGCATATTCCCATCCTATTTTCTAGTGGCATTCGTTTACCCCTAGGACTCTAGTTTTACGAAGGATGCGGTTCTTCATTTGGTTCCTGAACCAAAGGAATTTCACATTTACATATCTTCTTCTTCTATATCTTAAGGGCCCACGATCAATTTATTGATCATTTTGGCTCCTATGCATATAGATGGGATTTGCAATGTTTCTGTTACTGGTGGTGGTGAGAAAATTATGCACTAGGGGTTTGAAGGCTTGAGGCAATAGACACAAATGTGTCTAGTGTTGTCGCCTCAACTGTTCCTTTTGAAAGATGGTTCCAGTCCCTGATTGTCTTGGGCAGGAATGAGCAGCTCCTATACTGGCTTCTTGCTGGTATGATCCTGAATTGCCTGTCATGGCCTCGTCGCTGTCTATGGGGGAGAGGGACGAGTTTCTGTTTAATACTGGAACAGTGGACCAGCCCATTATTTATCTTGTACATCATGGAGAGCCTGGATTGTCGTCGTTGTTTCTCCAATGGTGACCAGCCTAGTGTTTCTAGCATGCTGCCAACACTAGAGGTATTCCTGTAGCGGTTTAGGACAAAACGTGCTGCTCGTCGCTGGACCGCCTCCAACCTGTCAATGCTCTTCTGGGTAAATGGGTCCCAGACTGAAGATGCATAATCTAAAATCGGACGGATAAAGGCTTTATATGCTCTTTCTTTCACACAGGAGTTGCCAATCTTTAGATTTCGCCTTAA